GATTTACTGGAACCTTTGATTCTACATTATACTTGCAGCACCACATTAAACAAGATTTACTGGAACCTTTGATTCTACATTATACTTGCAGTACTACATTAAACAAGATGTACTACAACCTTTGATTCTACATTATACTTGCAGCACCACATTAAACAAGATGTACTACAACCTTTGATTCTACATTATACTTGCAGCACCACATTAAACAAGATTTACTGGAACCTTTGATTCTACATTATACTTGCAGTACCACATTAAAGAAGATGTACTAGAACCTTTGATTCTACATTATACTTGCAGCACCACATTAAACAAGATTTACTGGAACCTTTGATTCTACATTATACTTGCAGCACCACATTAAACAAGATTTACTGGAACCGTTTAATGTGGTGCTGCAAGTATAATGTAGAATCAAAAAGATGTACTACAACCTTTGATTCTACATTATACTTGCAGCACCACATTAAACAAGATGTACTAGAACCCCACATTAAACATACTTACGTATATAAAACAACCTAAAAGATAACTACTTCAATACTTACGTATATAAAATAACCTAAGAAATAACTACTTCAATACTTACGCCACCTGAATTCGTAGTAATCGTAATAATCATCATCGATTAGATTAGGCCTAGCGGTTCCCCATCCACCTTCGTAGCTGCTGAATCTACAGGAGTGGTAGCGGGAACTGAACTCCACAGAACGACAGTCACGTCCGTAACGACGCATACATTCGTCTAAACACTCCTGGAAGGAGTAGGAGTTGATCTCCTTGTCGTGAGATCCATCCAGTTTCTTACGTCTAAATCGTTCTAAAGTAGCGTTATTGAACAGAGAAGTCTGTTCAACAGTCGAAAAAAAAAAACAACTAGTGTTAAAACAGACCTTCAGAAAGAAGCCAGTCATCATCCTAATAAAACACCGCGTAACAGTTAAACTTTGAGTTTTGTTAAAGATAAAACTCAACTTGAAACATGAGTTTATAATAAAATATTATGCAGTGTAGTGTCAAGTAAGTGCGAAATGGTTAAGATATGTTATAGTTGGAACCTCAATAAGAACACACAAGATCTTAAATTAAGATAGATGGTTACCAAAACACTCATCCACTTTGAGGTTAATCGAAGTTTATAAGAATGACGTTACAGGTTGATCATATTCTACCTGATGGCAGTTATTATGATCTATTATCCAAAACAACAGTTTCTGTTAAAAGAAACTTTTCTATATGTCAGCAACATTAATATCATCCTACACATATTTTTTTCACAGACCACACTACATATGGACATCACCTTCCAAAGGAAGAAACATCCGTTGGAGCTGGTTTGGTTTTGAATTCCGCGCAAAGCTACATGAGGGCTATCTGTGCTAGCCGTCCCTAAATTAGAAGTGAAAAACTATAGGGAAGGCAGCTGGTCATCACCACTCACCACTGCTCTTAGGCTCCAATACATCTTGTTTAATGTGGTGCTGTAAGTATAATGTAGAATCAAAGGTTGTAGTACATCCCTACAAATTTTATAGACTACAACTAAAGTCTTACAAATTCTATAGACTACAACTAAAGTTCTATAAATTCTATAGACTACAACTAAAGTCCTAATAATTCTCTAGATTACAACTAAAGTCCTAAAAAATCTTTAGACTATAACTAAAGTCCTAAAACTTCTTTAGACTACAACTAAAGTCCTAAAAAGTCTCTACACTACAACTAAGGTCCTAAAAAGTTTCTAGACTACATCTAAAGTCCTAAACTAAAAGCATAAATTTTATGAGTCGTTATTTCATCATCAAGTTATTGGAATATAAAACAACGTAAGAGATAACTACTTCTAAATTCTCTAGATTACAACTAAAGTCCTACAAATCTTTAGACTACAACTAAAGTCCTAACACATTTTATAGACTACAACTAAAGTCTTACAAATTCTATAGACTACAACTAAAGTCCTAAAAATTCTTTAGACTACAACTAAAGTCCTAAAAAGTCTACACTACAACTAAGGTCCTAAAAAGTCTCTACACTACAACTAAGGTCTTTAAAATTCTATAGACTACAACTAAAGCCCTACAAATTCTATAGACTACAACTAAAGTATTAGGACTTTAGTTATAGTCTATAGAATTTATAGAACTTTAGTTGTAGTTTATAGAATTTGTAAGACTTTAGTTGTAGTCTATAAAATTTGTAGGACCTTAGTTGTAGTCTATAGAATTTGTAGGGCTTTAGTTGTAGTCTATAGAATTTTAAAGACCTTAGTTGTAGTCTATAAAATTTGTAGGACTTTAGTTGTAGTATATAGAATTTGTAAGACTTTAGTTGTAGTCTATAAAATTTGTAGGACTTTAGTTGTAGTCTATAGAATTTGTAGGACTTTAGTTGTAGTCTATAGAATTTTAAAGACTTTAGTTGTAGTCTATAAAATTTGTAGGACTTTAGTTGTAG